TTCCGATAAGAGATCGAACGTTAGAACTGAGAATGATGGGAACACACAAGCGGGAGATGGTTTGCTTCCGAAAAGCAACTTTCCAACCGGCTCGATGCTTCCTCGGATTTTTCGAAAGCTTTCTGAACGTCCGTTTGCTTTTATTCCTTATAGTCTTCCCAAAAGAGGTGGTCGCTGTACATTTGGTTCATTTGATGGAATGCATAAAATCACGAGTGTATTTGATCAAATTTGTCATTACTGTAGTAGCACAACAGTTGCCTTGGCAACAAAGGTAAAAGTTCATGCGAGTGATACAAAAGTCAGACACAGTTATGATTAAGCAATATCTAGTGTAATAGAGTCAAAGAAAGCTTGAGATATGGCTGTATGGAATTTTGTTCATGATCGGTTAATATTTTGTGCACAATCTGTCAGACCATTACCCTCAAACGGTAAACAGACACACATAGCCTTTTCCCCAGCTTCGATCATTTTGCAATCGTGTCGTTCCTTTGCAGCACAGGATCCATTAAGTGGAGTTCATCAAGGACTGTGCACCAAACGACCAGAATACCACCTAGATAATCAACGTCTGACGCATACTGGCGTGTTTGTGGTTAGGGCGGCACTTATTTTAACTTCCACGTAAAACTGTCAGGTAGAAGGGGATCAAAAGGGGATTCCGTTTCTCATTGATCTCTCCTGCGGAAAGATTTTACTACTGAAATCGAAATCCCTATTGCTATTCAGTCATCTAAAGTCAGGTCTACGGTGATTGCTTCGCTTTCGATACACCTACGCAAATAATGAATAAGTACTCCGGTCAGGAGATTGATGAAAAGTGACGTGACTAACAATCTTTGATATTTAAGTTATCTTAGGCGTCCATGAGACTGAATTTATCCCTTGTATCATCCTCATGGGTTCCAGCTCATTGAGTAGCTATTTGATAACAGGAGCGGAAAACTATATACATCGAGGAGAGGCCTAAGTGGAACTCCTAAGGCCTAAGTAGTTCCTAACATAGATTTCCCCACTGAATGAAACACATCAAACTTAGTGCCATCAGCATAGCCAAGGAAATACACCCAGTCTTCCACATTAAATATTGGTACTAAAAATACAAGTATATAAAATTTCTGACAGAAGATTATCAAATACACATGCCTAACGGACGGCATAGGCTACCATTCATGCTGTGCTTCTTGGGATATCTACGTATGCACTAAAACAAGCAGAATCTGAAAGACTCGATCGGATTTCCCTGGAAGCACACGATCAGTTTCGTGGTTATTACATCTCATCAGCTATACATATCAGGTAATTACATGATTGTGATTAAATTTTCTCTTTGATCCTACTTACAACTTTTCGTGTCTTTCTCCTAATGCTCATTCAAATGAGCAACCAAAAGACAGGAACCAAAACCGGCGCACGACAGTGCATCTTTAATGGTTGTACAAACTGAAACTGAAACTATGGAAGTCAAATATTTATCAATATGGATATATGTATATACATACACCAAGAAGGATCATGTTACGTAGATTGGTAAAGATAATTTGTTTGGATATAAACCTCTGATTATGGTTGAATTCTTCAGATTTCTCATGTCGTCAGGGAAAATCATTTTAGAATTGCGAATATAGTAATACTGGGCTTCCCCGGAAAGTAAGATTCGATATTACACACCATAGAAACAATAAAGATGAGCGAAATCTGTCGATAATCAAGTCACAATGTATGTTCCGCGTTCTTCTATATTACAGAGCCTGCTGGATGGAGAATGCAGTATTTGGGCACTGAGTGATGGATTGTTTCATTTGCATATCAAAACTGATACGTTGTCTAGAATGCTCACAGTGATTGCAACATTTGAGGTAAGTTTTCCTCTCAAAGTCCTCAGTGTGTGATACTGGTTTCGCAAAGGAGTAAATGAAAGGTTTTTAAACTCATGAAGCTGTGATAATAAATATTGGGTATTCAAAACTAGTAAAATGGTTCATTCAGTTGGTGCGAGACTTCCAACTTGATGCCCTCGAATCGACTCAATCGATGATGGAATTGGACAAAATATTGGTAGTGTCGTAAATAAGTATACTCGTGCATGTAATCACCTTCAGTACACACCTTAATTACTTACCCGTTACATATCTTCTTGATAACAGAAACATATTTTGATTTAATCTCATCCTTTTCTTATCTTTATTTATTCACTCCTTTTTCATTCCTAAACCAGATGGGATACATAGATGGCAACCAGATTTGGACTATAAAAATGTACTACTTACTATACTGTATCTTCGTATGATCCGATGTACTGGACACCGGTCCTCAATCGACTGCGGTTTTCACACGCCATCCCGATGCTTTGCGGGTTATGCTTTGGCTAGTTAAAGGTTCTTTGAATCTAAAGTCTCCCAAAAGATTTATATACCTTGGCCTGGGGAACCTGGTCGAATCGCGCCCAGAAGCAAATCATGGAACGCTTTCTTTTTATAAGGGTTATTGTAGTGCGGACGCTCTGAACTCAAATGTGTTTGTACAAGTTGTTTAACATCATGGATCAGGAGATCATAATCGGAAGTTATTTCAGTTTAAACGGCCTAACTGATATGGCTTTTGACGGCATGCCTTTATGCTATCATGATTGACTGACGAGTTTGAAAGCACGGGATTTTCATGTTTTCCTAGCTAATGACATCTACTAATGTACATGTCGATCAAATACCTTTTGCTATTAAGAATAATATAGGTCAATTGGTATCCATCCGAAGCGTGGGCTTAATCCCCACTAAATTTAATGCCTTATTCCGCGGCGCAGCAGGGGCGAGCTAACCAACGGCATATCAGACAGGAACGTTTGAAGCCACAATTGAATACAATCAGTATTCAGTCAATGTAGAATGCAGCGCAACCACGTGCTGCATATACGACTGTAACACGTGGCCGAATATTTTTATCTGATTTGGTAATCGCGTCATTGCCTGTTTTACTTTCATGCATGTCACATTTCATTGCATGAACAATTCAAATATATTTTTTCTGTCCGTCACTTATCCTGTTGAATGTTACCATCACAACATTTACAGTATGATAGCTTCTAAAATGTGAAATATATATTTCTATCATTGCATCAATATCGGTTTAGCCTTAATGAACCATCACAGGCAGAGTTCAACCATTCAATACTCAACTGGAGCGTATTTTAGTTGCTTGCTCTTGTTTAGGACTCAAAAACGATTCTGGCTCCCAAAAGACTCTCAGAAATGATTAAACCATCAACAGCAATAATATATCTTTCAATTTTATCTGGATCTTGGTGACTAAGGTATTTATTTTTGGATGGAAATGCAACCACTTTACGTTATCGGATCAGGGTTGATTTATGCAATGCACGGCATTCGTACTGATTTAGCTGCTGCCCAAAAATAAACCAATCTCTATAGATAAAACGAAGTTGAATAAAATAATATTGAAAATTCCGCCCTTTTGATCAAAACGTGATCATTTATACGGGTAATATTTTCTTGACACATGTTTTACACATCCCAATTGTGTCAATATGCACATCGTAGACAAATATTAGCAGACAAGACAAAGGACAGAGGACGGAATATTACCCGGGTCCCGCAAAATTTGTGACGATAGAATTTGTCAGAACCGATAGAAGACAAATACTGCGAGATGTTAACATTTCTTTTAATCTCTTCAGTCGCTACAACGTAAAACAATCTAGTATTTATACAAGCCAGTTTTGGTAATTACAGTGGTAAATCGGACAATAGTCAGGGAAGCGAGGGAGAGGGTGGGATGGAAAATCATTTCCATGGCAGTCTGACTGATTGTTAAGAAACTTTTGTGCGCACAAAATTGGGTTACGTAACTTGATTAACATCGCCTCGCCTCGCGGTTGGTACAATCGATGACACAACAAAGTCTGGCAGATCAAACTGTTGAGAGAAATCCAGGGTAATCAATCGTAAAACAACTCATAGCAACTGGACACATCGTTGGCCCCAAATGTCGTTCAAGCCG